AAGTATACCTAATGCAAATTTACAAGAGTAATAATTTTATATTAAATATACAACTGTCCTCTAATTCTGTTCACTTAAATTACAATACTTTCTTTACGGGACATGAATAATTATACTTGGGAAAAAATGAAGTCATTTAAAGCAGAGTTAAAATAGTTTGGTTCAACACAAGGACAACCTATGTAGTGCCATCCCTGTCAAAACACTGTAGAGGGAGTTAGCCTAGCTCTGAAAATATTTACTTAATACATAATGCAGTAATGTCTTACATCTCCCAGGGTCATGCTTCTTGCAACATCAATACTGAGGAAATAGCTGAGACCCAATAGTAAACCAAAATAACCAACAAGCAGCAGAAAAACTAAATTGCCCTAAAGCCCACTGGGCAAGCTCCACTGGTCTCCGTTTTTGTTTTGGTTTGTTTTTTTTGAGATAGAGTCTTGCTCTGTCATCCAGGCTGGAGTGCAGTGGCACAACCTCAGTTCACTGCAAATTCCACCTCCTGGGTTCAAGTGATTCTCCTGCCTCCACCTCCTCAGTAGCTGGGATTAGTGCCCGCCACCACGCCCGACTAATTTTTTATATTTTTTAGTAGAGACGAGGTTTTGCCATGTTGGCCAGGCTGGTCTCGAACTCCTGACCTCAGGTGATCCACCCACCTCGGCCTCCTAAAGTGCTTGGATTACAGGCGTGAGCCACTGCACCCTGCCTGTTTTGTTTTTTTACTTTTTTCTTTTTAGAGATGGGGTCTTATGGTCCAGGCTGGTCTAGAACCTCTGGGCTCAAGCGATCCTCCCACGTCAGCCTCCCAAAGTGTTGGGATTACAGGTGTAAGCCATCACACCCCGCCTAAGGTCTTTGTTTTTTTGTTGTTGTTTTCTTTTTACATAGTATTCTATCAAGCTCAGTTCTGGGTTTACTTGTAGCAAACCTAAAATAGCAAATTAGGAAAAGAGGCAGCTGAAGAGTAAGAGCATTCCCATAGCAATAAGAACTAACAGCAAGGAAAGAAGAACAACAAAAACAGGAGATCTATAAAATGTCTAACAGTATAATCCCAACTATATAATACACTGCACTGAAATAACAATTACAATTCCAGGCCTACACTAAAATAGGAAACATAAGTTATTCTATGCCTCATTTTCCTGTTCTGGTATAATAAACATGGTTTATATAATTTTTTTTTTTTTTTTTTTTTTTTTTTTTTTTTTCTTTTTCACCACTGATGCATGCGATCTATATGAGTCCCCTCGTTACGCATTCCTGCTCACTCCGAGTACTAAGACCCCATTCGTAGTTTTTGTATTTTTATAAGACGGTTCACGTATTAGCAGATGGTTCATTCTGACTCATGATCCCCGTCTCGCTCCAACTATACAGCTTGGCACGCGCCCGCCTTCATGGTTTTTTAAAAATGGCATTTGAGGCTGAGTGCAGTGGCTCATGCCTGTAATCCCAGCACTTTGGGACATCGAGGCAGGCAGATCACTTGAGGGCAGGAGTTTGAGACCGGCCTGTCCAACATGGTGAAACCCCATCTCTACTAAAAATACAAAAATTAGCCAGGCGTGGTGGTACATGCCTGTAATCCCAGCTACTCGGGAGGCTGTGGCAGGAGAATCACTTGAACCTGGGAGGTGGAGGCTGCAGTGAGCTAAGATCGTGCCACTGCACTCTAGCCTGGGAGACAGCCTGTCTCAAAAAAAAAAAAAAAAAAAAAAAAAAAAGGCACTTGATCCTTCTTTTCTGGGCATAAAAGAGATATATTGTATCAATAATTTGGAAATTACTAAAAGTGTAAAGAAAATTAAAATTGCCTATAACCCACAACCCAGAGATAACCACAATTTATATCTTGGTGCTTCAGGTGTCTTGATATTTAAACATGTACATATACCTTTTTCTGGTAACTTTTTTCTTTTTAACCTGGCATTATTTGTGGGCATTTTCTGAACTCAAAAAGTCTTTGTAGAATTATTTTAAATACCACAATTTATTAACCCATTATTACAGATTTGGGGTAGTATAAAATATTTTATAAAGTATACTATATATTATACCACATACATGACAAGCTATTTAAGAAGTCATCATTTATAAGGTTTAGACACAGAAAGGGAATTTTTCAGTGGAACCGTTTACCAATAAATTACCCCCCAAAAGACTTATAAGTTGTGGTTTGTGAAACTAGATTATCAAATACAATACTTAAGTCCAGTGAACAAATGAGACATTTGGAGAATGAAGTCTCAGATAAACTTTGGAAAATGATCATTTAAAGTTGTTTCTGATACCAGGAATATGGAATTCACATTAAGAGAATTCTAGATTACTGTTATTAAATTACAACCATGCTAGTAAAGTAACACTTATTAATGACTCAGTAATCATTCTGCTCATTCATTAAGCAAATACATATAACTACTATTTGAAAGGCATTATATTACGGTGCATTAATATCAATAGTAAGAGCCTTATTAGTAATTCTATAAAATGAGATCGTAGCATTTAAAACACTTTAACAAAATCTGGAAAAATATCCCCCAAATCCCACTGCAGCTCATCCCTCTTTGTACTTATCACCCAGAGTCTGTCTCTCCCACTAAACAGTGAGCAACTTGAGAGCAGACACTGTCACCACCTCTAGGTATAAAATGGGGGTTCAATATAGGTTTGCTGAATGACATTATAATCCAGAGTTTTTCAGTTCTAATCTGAAAGCACACGTTTATACAAATGAAATAATGTATACGTTATTTTTGATAATGCCCTTTCCACACTATTTTTCATATTCCTAGCAATCTTCATAATCTTAATGGCTTTAAAATATTCCATCATGTTTATATAACTTAGAAAATGATTCTCTTCATGTTGTCTTTAAAAGTTATTTCCAGGGTTTTTTTTGTTTGTTTGTTTGTTTGTTTGTTTGTTTTTTGAAACAAGATCTCATTCTGTTGCCCAGGCTGAAGTGCAGCGGCATGATGATGGCTCCCTGCAGCCTCGAACTCCTGGGCTCAAGTGATCCTCCCACCTTAGACTTCCGAGTAGCTGGGAATACATACAGGCGCACACCACCATGCCCAGCTATTTTTTTTTTTTTTAAATTTTTTGTGGAGTCTATGTTGCCCAGGTTGGTCTTGAACTCCTGGGGTCAAGCGATCCTCTCGCCCCAGGCTCCCAATGTCAGCATTTTTACATTGTATAGTTAATGTTGCAGCAAACATACCTTGCCTTACAAGTCTCATAGATTTCTATCTTACTGGAAAAAGGACTAAATTCTAAAAGAAGGTAATCTTTTACAACAAAAATTCATCTTAAACATGTTGGTTTTTACCCCATACGCAGAATTTTGAAAGACAAAGAAACACACAAAGAAACTAGAATTGTATTTTGCCAAATCAACTACAACTGCAAGCAATTTAAATAAATCCTCTATTATGAAATGTGTATGTCCAAAGTAAACCATGTTTTGTAGGACTGCTTCACATATATTTAGGAAAGATATTTCTGGGGGCAGGCAATAAAAATTCTGAGGTAACAGACAAATAAGATATCTAATTAGATCTTCAGTGCTTTTGGAGGGGGCACACACTTCATCTCCACTACTTCCTTAGATGCACAGAGCTTGCTCAGCCCCTCAGACTGCACAAGTGTAAGCGCTTGGGCTTCTAAAGGTACCCTGATTACCCTTTCCCACCATTTATAGATCCGAAAGTAAAAATTTACCTGGCTATATACAAGCATTTAAATCTTGACCTTAAATAGAGGGATCCTATAGGAAAGTCAACTATATTTTAGAAATATGAAGCTAGTTTTTACATTTATATTCATTTAACAAACTTGTGTTGAGCTTCTATCACTGCATCTCTGCGGTATGGCCCTTCATTGCTAATAAATCACCAACCTGGGTTCCTTTGTTTATGTGCGGAGAAGAGAAAAGAAAGGAAGATAGGAAAAACAGTTACCTGTAATACAATTTTTTGTCCAAGTATGACTGCTAACAATTATCTCTAAAAAGAATATAATCTATAAAAGAAGACTTCATTGAAGGGAGGAAGGGGGCTTTTGAGCCCAGACAAAATATACGCTCAAATATGTAATTTTTAAAAGAAATATGCTACGCAGCTTATATTTTGTATATGTTAAATTTCTCATGAAGCCCAATGAACGATGCCTCTGTATAATTGTGTATTGTATTGTTTGCTTTACAGGCTTTTCCATACACGTACACACACATATACACACACACGCACACGCATAATCAGGATTCGCCAGAGAGATATATAACAACTAAATTACTTAAAGCAGGAATTCTATAGGTGTTACTAGGCATATGGAACCTTTCGGTCCCCAGAAGTTCCATTCACAGACTGCAATAACATTCCATACGACACAAAAGCGCATGCCATGACAAAGACCTTCAAGTACAAACATACAAAGACACGCTTCTAAAAACGCCCCTAAAGCCAAGTTCACAGCTGGCACTTGTGGCACACACAAGCCACTGCTGAGACAGCTGTCACAGGCCAATCACACACACCCAAGAGTGCCAGCGTGCCACCTAAGGAAGACAAGCCGATGATCAGCGCACAAATCCCCAACCCAATAAAGAAAAGCCCTAAATCCCCACCCTGGAAAACACAATGCCTGCACCACCCAGAAAACTCCTTAAAAAATGAAAGGTCGGAGGTTTAGAAGCAACTAACCACTAGTTTACAGCAATACATTAAAAGGGGAGTTTTATTTGGACATTCACGAGAAAGAAGGCACAACATTCAATCCTCACGGAAGTATTATCAGCTAGCTAGCAGCACAAGGCTTTGTCCCCCAACTGGAAAAAGGGGAAAGGAGGAGGGCGAGGAGAGATGCAGACCCTGCAGCACCTCCCTCTCCGGCAGTGCACTGAGGCTGCAGCGAACTCAGCTTCCCAGACCCCCTCCCACCCATTGCTAGCCATCGCCTCCCACTGCAGGCCCAGTTGCCTCGGGCTCTCCTACCTTGGCTTTGCCGGCTTCCAGCTTCTTCTGTCTCTCCTCGTCCTCCATGGCCTCTGCAAGGAAGGCAGGGGAAAACAGGGGTTGAGGGGTGGTCGGGGAAAGGTCGGTTTCGACGGAGGTGGGACAGCAAGCTCCGCTGCCCAGAGAGCCGAGCCAGGCCGGCGCTCCCCCGCCCGAAGTGGAAACAGTCTCGGCGCTCACTGGCTGATCGCCCTCAGCCGCACGGGAAGCGCCGTCACCGCCGCCGCCGCCGCCGCCATCTTCGTCTCCACGTAAACACACGGCGAGGCGGGAGGGGCTGGAACGTCTGTCCGCGCAGCCGCCTCGCGGGCAGGTGCGTCTGGGGTCCTGCCCCGGCCCAGCCCTCCGGGGTCAACCCCCGCCAGGCCTGGGACCGGCCTCCGACCCGCGAGGATCCCGCCGTAGGGAGCGCCCTTCCCGCACATCAATGGCTCGCAGGTGGCGGCCGAGCTGAGGGGTAGAAGGGACGGAATGTGCCAGAGGCTCCTGGCCGGACCCCCACCCTCCGTCCGAGGAATCCAGTGCTATAAAAACATGAGTTTTTTGTTTTTTCCTTCAGGTTACAAAAATAACAAACCTAATGGTGAAATTGGCGAACACCTAAAAGCTCCAATGGAAAAGTTCCAGGGGTGGAGGGTGGTGAGGGGGCGGACGCCAGTTTTTCTACCTACGTTAACTCCTCGACTCAAGGAATTATGAGAGGAGCTAATTGCTCTTGTTACTTCCTTAGCCTGAAAAGTCCCTCCCTCTTCCCTCCACTGGTTCCCACTCAATCTCCGGTTCATCCTTCTAGTCCTATCGCACACGCTGCCTCCAAATGGCTTTTCTGACCTCCTGTTCCCTCCACGGCAACCGAGACACATCCAGTCAAAACGTACTCCCCTCCCCCGACTCCTTCGGGCTTCCCTTTAACAGTAGCGTTCTGAAAGGAGCTTGAGCTTCAGAACCTAGGTTAGGGACAATGCCAGACTACACCAACTTTCTAGCTTTAATGACAAGTTTCCTATTCTCCCTGAGCCTACCTGGAATTTTTGGAAGGGTTGTTAATATATGTAACTGCCCTGGCATATTAAAACGTTCTTAATGTCAGCTTTATTTCTCCTTGGACTTCCTTTATGTACCCTATTAAAATAGGGTACCCTGCACCATATTTTAATAATTTGTGTGCGTCTTAGTTCAGCTCATACTCCCAGGTCCTTGATGACAGAGAATCATCATGAGTCTTGCTCATCTTGGTTTTACTAAAATGACCAGCACAGAGCTCTGCACTCAATAAACGCTTTTTGGATTGAATTGAGCAGTGTTTATAAATTTAGCATTACTATCTTTCCTTGTTTCCCCTACATGTGCTCCCTCGATCCTTTGTATTCTTCTCCCTACCCTCCAACGCTCAAATCCATTCCTGGAGTGAACTACACATTTCAATGTCTCTGGTTGATTACTCAGGTTTCATATTTATGTGCGGAGAAGAGAAAAGAAAGGAAGAGAGGAAAAACAGTTACCTGTAATACAATTTTTTGTCCAAGCATGATTGCTGACAATTATCTCTAAAAGAATATGTATATAAAAGGAGAGACTAAAGACCTAAAGTCTACTACAAACTGAAGATGAGTTTTAAATAGCCCTCGTTTAGAAATCTTAGCTTTAAAAAAGATTTTTTCTTAAGTTCTGTAATGCATACATTCTGCCAACTTCTAACAGCCAAGTGCATGTTGTCCTGTTATCTCAACCTGAATTGGGAACCAGGTGAAATTAGACATTTTATCATAGGGATAAAAGAATTGAGGCAGTAAGTGATTTAGTTACCCATCAAATTAAGAGTAATGACTAGAAGTAAGTGTTCTAATTGTGCAGTGATTTAAATACTGCCTGGATTGAGGGATTATGTGTGTAGATGCTGATTGCCTAGGAGGGGGAAGCCCTGGGGTATCTGAAGCTATTCCTGTTTGTTAAGGGATACTGCCTTCTCAGTGACTAAGGAAGTCAGCTATTTGTATGTGCTGAAAATGTTCAAGAATACCTTCCAAAGCAACAAGATTATTTCAATGTTTCCCTTCACTGATAGCAGCCAATCATATACATGTCTATTTTACATAATGGGTGCTCAATCAATATTGAAAGTTATATTTGTGTTAACTTCTATTAGAAGGGCAAGCATTGGGCACTAGTGCTCTGACTCTTCCTTATGGCACCTATTCTGTCACATCTCGTCATACCAATCATTCATTCATGTCATGTCATTCACTTATTCAAGTGATTCTTTCAGAAGATATTTCAGCAAAGACTTGAAAAAGATGAGAAGGCTGGGTGGGGTGGTGTACACCTGTAATCCCAGCACTTTGGGAGGCTGAGGGGGGCAGATCGCTGAAGCTCAGGAGTTCGAAACCAGCCTGGGCAACATGACGAAACCTTGTCTCTACAAAAACAAACAAACAAACAAACAAAAACAATTAGCTGGGTGTGGTGGCGGGAGCTAGCTACTCCAGAGTCTGAGGGGGGAGGATCACTTGAGCCCAGGAGGCCAAAGCAGTGAGCCCAGATTGTACCATTGCACTCTAGCCTAGACAACAGGTGACACTGTCTCAAAAAAACAAGGGGGTGGTAGGTGGGGTAGAGAGCCATGGAGATAGTTGAGGGTACAGCAAATCCAAAGAAAGGCCCTCAAGAAAGACCATGATGGACCTTCTCAAGGAAGAGGGGGTGGCTAGAATGGAATAAGCAAGGGAAATAGTGGGAGATGAAGTCAGAAAAGTAACAGGGGGCCAGATCCTGTAGAGTTATTTTCTTTCTTTCTTTCTTTTTTAAACGGAACCTCACTGTGTCACCCAGGTTGAGTGTAGTGGCCTGATCTTGGCTCACTGCAACCTCCTGGGCTCAAGCAATCCTCCCACCTCAGCCTCCTGAGTAGCTGGGGCCACAGGTGCACTCAGCCACAACCAGCTTATTTTTGTATTTGTTGTAGAGACAGGGTTTTACCATGTTGCCCAGGCTGGTCTGAAACTCCCAAGCTCAAGCAAGCCACCCGCCTCAGCTTTCCAAAGTGCTGGGGTTAGAGGTGAACCACCATGCTTGGCCTCAGATCCTGTAGAGTTCTAAAGGTCGTTGTAAGGACTTCAGCTTGTACTCTGGGTAAGATTAGGAGCTATTGGAGAATTTTGACCAGATGAATGACATGGTTTGGCTTATGTTATTCACAGACATTTGGCTGCTATGAGGAGAAAGGGGGATCAGTTTGGATGTTATTTCAGTAATCCTAGATAATGGGAATTTGGGCCATAGTACTGTAGTGGAGGAAATGATATGGAATTAGATTCTGGATATCTTTTGAACATAGAACCAATAGTATCATAGGAGTTGTAAATTGGATATGAGGTTTGAGACAAAAAGAAAAGTCAAGGTTGATTCCAACATTTTTGGCTTGAGCAACTGAAGTTATGAAGTTGCCAGTAACTAAAATGGAGAAAAGCAAATCTGGGGACCACGTGTTCAGTTTTGGACATGGTAAGTTAGACATACACATTCGGAATCCGAGAACTGATGTCACCCTTAGACATCAGTTAGTCTGGAATTCAGGAGACAGGTCCAAGCTAGAAATAAAAATGTGACAGTAGTCAGTATTCAGGATGTAGATGGTATTTTAAGTTAAGGAATTGGATGAGATAATCTAGGGTCATGCTATTCAATACAACATCTATTAGCTAGTCTGAATTGAGATGTGCTGCAAGTGTAACACTTTGGATTGGGAAGACTTAATATTAAAATAAAATAACTTAAAATATTGCACTATTTTTATATTATTAAAATGATTATATTTAGGACATATTGGGTTTAATAAGATATATATTAATTTTATCAGTTTCTTTTTTTAAACGAAGTTACTACAAAGTTTCAAATTACATATGTGGCTTGCATTTGTGGCTCGCATTATTTTTCTATTGGACCATGCTGCTCTAAGGAGCAAGTTTAGATAGAAAGGTGTTACAATGACTGAGTTTTGGAATACTTCAACTCTAAGAGGGAGGAAAGGTGAGCAGAATCTGCAAATGAGACTGAGAACAGTGGCTAGCTATGTGAAAGGAACCAGTCGCCAAGCGAAGAAAGTGAAGGAGGAAGGAGTGATGAACCAAGACAACTGCTGTTAATAGGTCACGTGGCCGGGCGCGGTGGCTCAAGTCTGTAATCCCAGCACTTTGGGAGGCCGAGACGGGCGGATCACGAGGTCAGGAGATCGAGACCATCCTGGCTAACACGGTGAAACTCCGTCTCTACTAAAAAATACAAAAAACTAGCCGGGCGAGGTGGCGGGCGCCTGTAGTCCCAGCTACTCGGGAGGCTGAGGCAGGAGAATGGCGTGAACCCGGGAGGCGGAGCTTGCAATGAGCTGAGATCCAGCCACTGCACTCCAGCCTGGGCGGCAGAGCGAGACTCCGTCTCAAAAAAAAAAAAAAGGTCACGTAAAATGAGGACTGAGAAATAAACATTGGATATAGCCAGGTGAAGGTCTCTGGAGGCTTCCATAGAAGGCACTGTAAATCAATCATTAATTATTTCCAACTGAGTGCAAGCACTGCCTCAGTATCCTTCTCAACAAAGAGCCTCTGGCAGTCATGTCCAATGGACCAGAATTGAAAAGGGAAATAAAATCTAATTGGTATCCTCTATTGGGGTTACATTCTAGTGATTCTGTTTATAACATCTGTAAAATTCATAATTTAATTAAGCTACATTTCTTCTAGTGTTGATGTGCCTTCCAATAGTAAGAATACTGCACAACACTCATTTCCCCTGAGAGATTAAATACAAGATTTTTTTTTTTTTTTTTTTTTGAGACAGGTTCTCACTCTGTCGCCCAGGCTGGAGTGCAGTAGCACGATCACGGTTCACTGCAGCTTTGACCGTCCAGGCTCAATTGATCCTCCCACCTCAGGCTCCTGAGTAGCTGGGACTACAGGTGCATGCCACCATACCTGGCTAATTATTAAAATTTTTGTGTAGAGAAGGGATCTCCCTATGTTGCCCAGCCTGGTCTTGAACTCCTGAGCTCAAGCGATATACCTTTCTCAGCCTCCCAAAGTGCTGAGATTACAGGTACGAGCCACCATGCCAGGCCTAAATTCAAGATTTCTAAAGGTACTTTTTATATTTTCCACTTGAATGGTACTAGTTCTTCATTGGTAAGATAGCAAACTAGTGTATGTAGAATACCTATGTGAATCAGCAAACAAGATTGTTCTAATACT